ACGAAATTCTTATCATACTTATAGTGTTTGGAAACCATTCTCACCATATTTAGTGTTTGGAAACCAAACTTTTATCATAATTATAATGTTTGGAAACCATCCTCATCATATTGACAGTGTTTGGAAACCAAACTCTTATCATACTTATAATGTTTGGAAACCATTCTCATCATACTTACAGTGTTTGGAAACCATCCTCATCATATTTAGTGTTTGGAAACCAAACTGTTATCATACTTATAGTATTTGGAAACCATCCTCATTACATTTATAGTGTTAGGAATCCATCCTCATTATATTTACAGTGTTTGGAAACCATTCTCATCATATTTATAGTGTTTGGAAACCAACTTTTATCATATTTATAGTGTTTGGAAACCATCCTCATCATATTTATAGTGTTTGGAAACCATCCTCATCATATTTATAGTGTTTGGAAACCATTCTCATCATATTTATAATGTTTGGAAACCATCCTCATCATATTTATAGTGTTTGGAAACCATCCTCATCATATTTATAGTGTTTGGAAACCATCCTAATCATATTTATACTAATTGGAAACCATCCTCATCATATTTATAATTTTTGGAAACCATCTTCATCATATTTATGGTGTTTGAAAACTATACCGATTATGTACTATTAGAAAACACAAAAGAAATGAGTTTTAAATGTATTTAATTATGCTTGTAAAAACTTTACTCTTAAAGAGCGATTCTACGATTTACATTCACAAAAGGTTTACTTATTACTCTGTTGTAAATGCTGATAAAAGGTTTACTTGTTACTCTGTTGTGAATGCTGATAAAAGGTTTACTTATTACTCTGCTGTAAATGCTGAGAAAAGGTTTATTTATTACTCTGCTGTAAATGCTGATAAAAGGTTTACTTATTACTCTGCTGTAAATGCTGATAAAAGGTTTACTTATTACTCTGCTGTAAATGCTGATAAAAGGTTTACTTATTACTCTGCTGTAAATGCTGATAAAAGGTTTACTTATTACTCTGCTGTAAATGCTGATAAAAGGTTTACTTATTACTCTGTTGTAAATGCTGATAAAAGGTTTACTTATTACTCTGTTGTAAATGCTGATAAAAGGTTTACTTATTACTCTGCTGTAAATGCTGATAAAAATATGGTATTTATAGGAAAAACTAATTTCACAGCTTTGACAAATATTAGTTTAAAAAATGAGACAAAATAAAGTTGGTAAATTCAAAGAGCTTGGTATTATAATGAGGAGGCAAAACCAGACGCCTCAATTGGTTTAGTTAAAAAGACACAGAAGGTCGTCTTTTCTATAATTCAAAATAATTTTAGGATCTTTGCGCAAGTCTCTCACCAAACGTTTTAACGTAATTCTCCGTTAGAAATGCTAATGCATAACTTTAATATATTTGTGGATAAAGTTTATCTTAAAACAGAATGCAATGTTTGGTTTGCAGTTTTTGGCCCCTTTTAGAGCTCATTTTACCAGCCTAGAATTCTGCTTTAAACTAAAAGAAAACTTGACCTTTAGAAATTCTTTTTAAAAAAATATTTGGTATTTTTCATACAAATGAGAAATAACATAACAAAATTACAATTTTAGCTTTATTTCAGCAGGAGAGCATCCTATCCTAAACTGAATAAACAAATTAAGAAGTTTAAAACCGTATCGTTAATTTCCGACCATTTTTAGCACCTACAATTGATTTATTTATTTGATAACTCTAGAGTTTTAATGTTGATGGTTTGTGTTTCAAAACCTATACTGAAGCCAATGACAATTTGACTATTCGGGTACAGTCCTAATGCATTATCTTTTACTATTGGACCATCTTTAGGTTAGACTTTTAAATCCTATTCTTTGTAAAGGAATTGAGCCTCTGTCACAAACTTAAATTTTCCAATTCCTATATTTTGCAACCAGATGGTGTAAGCCTTAGAAATTTCAAACTTAGATTATTTTATCTAACATAATAAATAGTTTGAAATATCTAAGGTCTCCGACATTGGGCTTCAATAATAAAGGGATTAGAAAATTCGTATTTGTGGCAATAAATCATTTTTCGGGACTTGCTTTGATTATATTGATTTATTTGGAGTAGAAATGTGAAGATATAGTGTTTTCTTTATAAAAATATGCAGAAATTAAAAAAAAACTAAATTTATTCCTAACCACCACCTCAGCTTCCTTCTCCCCCCCCTTACCGCCCCTCATATCTTTTATGCAATTTATTCATTACAGGAAACCGTCCAAATTATATCAATATTTGAGTTTCCAAACTGATTTTGAATTTATATAGTTTGAAAAGTGTTGTTTGGTTGAGATAAGGTTGATATTGACAGGTCTCTCGTCCTATTTCTAGTTTTCTGATTCAATTATTTCTTGGAAAGGGAATTGTCGATTATTTGGCGCCAAAAAATTGGATTTTCTGAGGACCCAATCAACTCTTATTTTTGTTTATTTTGACATTATTCTTCCTTTACCCACTCATTCTTTCATATATCTCTTCATTTTCTTTCTTCTTAATAGTTTCTTTTCCTTTTTTATCATTCTTAAATCGATATTTAACTATGACCAGTTTTTTTCATTTTCTTTCGACAACAGACACCAGGCAATAGACAACAGTCAATAGACAAAAGATAACAGACAACGAGAACAGACACCAGGCAATAGACAACAGACACCAGGCAATAGACAACAGACACCAGGCAATAGACAACAGACAACAGACAAATCATAATCACATCTATTGCCAATAAAGTAATAAATATTTTGCATTATGTATAAAGTACATGATTATGAGATATGATGAGAAATAAAATCATAAAATTTACAGTTAGCCCCGGCCATAACACTGTGAAATAAGAAGACGATATTCAAGCAATCATGTGTATTAAATTCTGTTAAAACTTATAAAGAACAATTTTACAAACTTTTTAAGTGATTTAAGTCTGTTAAATTGCTCAATGACTGAGTCGTTATTGGACTATTTAAAATCATACATTAAGTCTAACAGTCGTCTTCATTTCCAAATGTTTTTTGGGTCCCACTGTATATATCGCATTGTATATTTGGTTTTGGGTCCCACTGTACAAATTGCATTGTATATTTGGTTTCGGGTCCCACGTTGTATATATCGCATTGTATATTTGGTTTCGGGTCCCACTGTATATATCGCAATGTATATTTGGTTTCGGGTCCCACTGTATATCGCATTGTATATTTGGTTTCGGGTCCTACTGTATATTTCGCATTGTATGTTTGGTTTCTGGTCCCACTGTATATATCGCATTGTATATTTGGTTTCGGGTCCCACTGTATATATCGCATTTGGTTTCGGGTCCTACTGTATATTTCGCATTGTATGTTTGGTTTCTGGTCCCACTGTATATATCGCATTGTATATTTGGTTTTGGGTCCCACTGTATATATCGCATTGTATATTTGGTTTCGGGTCCCACTGTATATATCGCATTGTATATTTGGTTTTGGGTCCCACTGTTTATATCGCATTGTATATTTGTACTTTTTTGTTCAATGTACATTGATTATGATAAAAATATGTACATCGATTATGATAAAAAGAATATCTAATGTACATGAAAAAGATTACTTTAATGTAGTGTACATGATCTTGTTGTTACCCTTCGTAAATTGTTCTAAACCTGATAGAATCCTAAACTAGGGTCTGGGACTGAGTTAACTCATTAATCTGTCTCAAATTAATAATCTGACAGAACACGCAACAGTTTTTAGTCAGAAATAGAGACAACCCTGTACACTGGTACAATGCACAATAAAACATTAGAATTTAGATATCATGATTAGAGTGAAACAATTGGTCCTTTAATCTTGGATTCTTGGATTCTTGGATTCTTGGATTCTTGGATTCTTGAATTCTTGGATTCTTGGATTCTTGGATTCTTGGATTCTTGGATTCTTGGATTCTTGGATTCTTGTATTCTTGGATTTTTGGATTCTTGGATTTTTGGATTCTTGGATTCTTGGATTCTTGGATTCTTGGATTCTTGGATTTTTGGATTCTTGGATTCTTGGATTCTTGGATTCTTGGATTCTTGGATTTTTGGATTCTTGGATTCTTGATTCTTAATTCTTAATTCATAATTTTTATTCTTTATTCTTAATTCTTAATTCTTAATTCTTCACTCCTAATTCTTCACTCTTCATTTTTCATTTTTATTTATTAATTGTTCATTGATCATTCTTCATTCTTCATTGTTTATTGTTCGTTATATTATCAGACTTGCAAATTCTTTTTTTGGACAATTAATTTTCAAACTAATATTTTTCAATGTTAGTGAATAATGAATTTATCAATTTGAATATTGTATCGAATCTAAAACACATAAAACTGCTATGTTCATCTGCTGTATAAAGAAATACACCGTAATTAGTTAGAATGTAAGTTATTATATGCACATTATGACACAAAAATGTATTAGTATTTTTTTAAATACTCTTTCAACCTAACTGAAGCTAGAAACAAGCGCTTTAAACTCTAAAAATATGTTTCCAATGCTTTATACTTGTTATCATCAAAAGAATAACAAAGGACTTGAGACACCTTAGAGCTGAACCCGTCACATCAATATTGTTGCTTAATTTGCATACGTGTTGTATACCATGATTTTTATCTGAATCTGGCATCTGTTCGATTTTTATGTTTCTGTCCAAATCTGTCTAAGATGATATCTGTCTAAGATGGAATCTGTCTAAAATCAAATCTGTCTAAGATCAAATCTGTCTAAGATGACATCTGTCTGCGGATGAAATCTGTCTAAGATGAAATCTGTCTAAGATCAATTCTGTCTAAGATCAAATATGTCTAAGATCAAATCTGTCTAAGATAAAATCTGTCTAAGATGTAATCCGTCCAAGATGTAATCTGTCTGAGACGAAATCTGTTCAAGAAGAAATCTGACTAAGATAAAATCTGTCTGAGATGAAATAAGAAATAAAAATTGAAAAAGTCAACTATTTGATCACCTGACATTATCTCCCATAGAAACATGACTCGTCGGAACAACATCGCAGAATATTTTCTCTCTCAACTCATTCCTTTCAACTCCTTTCAACTCCTTTGGCACAGTGGATCAGGACTGGTTGATAATCTCCGGTCTTAACTCAGGACTAGAATGAGAGCATGTTGAATTCTTGATGTATATCTCCAGTTTAAACGAGGTCTGGATAAGAACTGGTGGCGGGGTTCGGATACCTGAACTCTTTTCCGGAGTAAAACGTCCCAAGGGAGGGAAGTCCGGAGAAGCAGAACCAACCAACCCGGAGTTAAGAGGAGGAACGCGGGTTCGGTTCTCCGAGGAAGTTTTACTCCGTTCAATGGTTCTATACTGTAGAGTTCATGTTTTCTCTAGATAAAACATAAACTCATGATAAAATGGTTAATGCCAAAAGAATGAATTTTTTTTGCAGTTGCTTAAAAAATGTTTCAACACATGTTGTTTAACAGGGGGGAGTAGCATGGTTTGGTAGATAACTGGTTATAAAAGGAATGGGGGGGGGGTCACGGGGTTTAGAATTGGGATTTATTATTAATCTTTAACTTTTGGTCTACCTCCATCCTTCCTGCTCTACCTGCTGCAAAGGATGAAATTTTGAATTTCTTTTTATTTTGAAAAAAAATCCTTTTTTAGTTTTAGCCTTTTTTGGTTATTTTAACTCTAAAATTAAATATAAATAATATCAATTTGGATTTCAATCTAAACTTACTATTTTACATCCTCTTATGCATATCCTTAAATTCATAACTGAAGCACTTAATGAGAACAATTTTGCAGTTGCTATTTTTCTGGGTCTACAAAAAGCGTTCGACTTAGTTAATCATGATATTTTTCTTTTAAAACTTAAAACTGCCATTGGTTGGAGTTCTGGTAACATGTTCCGGACACATAAATATTGTTATCAATTATAACTATTAAAAATGAAAAATTATTAAATTCAAATAATAATAGGAGCAAACTTGAGTTTCTCAGGCTCCTCTGGGATATCGTAGTTTTCAGATTTCAGAGTATTTGTTGAATATGATCTGTTTATTACTAAGAATCTTATACAAAATCTTATATATATATTTGGTATAATTTTGACACAGTTTTATATCAATTTCTCGAGACAGGAACATCAGATAGAACTCTTATATGTCTTGAGATTTAGGTTGAAAGAAATTGTTTTCTATAAATTATTTATATATCTTTTAATATTACTGAAATATTGATAATGAAAATTAATTATTTTTTAAAAATCTACAAATTGTACACTCCCCTTTTAAAGATAAACCAGGTTATCAGCAATTAAACGCTATCATACATTTTAAAGATTTTATGACCCCCGCCCCTCTTCCAGCTTCACAAAAAATATACATTGCTCGGCCCAGAAATGATCTAAGCTTATCCTTTTGCAATTACTTATAAGTAAAATCACTTTTGGTGTAATAATCATTCAAAATCAACGTTTTATATACATTTCAGTCACACTACATTATGTAAAACCTTTATAAAAAAGCATTAAAGATCAAAGACGATATTTAACTCTAAACTATCATGATAGTGGGATACCCTGTTTATTTGGACAAGACATATTTGAAAATAGAAATATATATATATATATATATATATATATATATATATATATATATATATATATATATATATATATATATATATAGACGAGCATAAAATGTTTATGATGACTACATGGTTTGACTAGTTTTATCTTTATCTTGTTCTCCGACAGTACCATTCATCCCTAGGGAGCTCAGATCTCAACTCCTACCAGATTCATGAAACAATGACCTTACATTCTAGATAAATAGATTCCATAAATAATATTCAAGGAACTGATTACTTTCCTCAAACTTTAATTTCATAATTCTAATACTTAAATATTTCAAACATATGAATTCTGAGCTGAAACGTTAGAATTCTGGATATCTTATATTATCTATATTTTTTATTATTATTAAGATTAATTTAAACTTACACTTATATTGAGGAAAGTACCTTAAATTGAACCAATCAGAGTGTTGCTTGTAGAAACCAAAAAGCCAATCAGAAGCTAAGAAAATTGCAAAATTCTGTGCACGATTAAAAGGATATAAATCCAAAAGAGAGGATTAAAAAGAAAATCAAAAGTGTCCACAATGAATAAAGAGATTTAACAATCAGGATTAAAGGTATCACGGCTCGATCGGACTCGAAATTGTTGTGGTTGACCTTCCTCCCCTCGTTCAGCCTTTTTGACGTTTCTTGGATATAAACAAACAGACAGACAAGCATTAAGTATATAGAAGATAAAGACAAAGTTTAGTGGGCTAGACAATATGATAAAGGACTCCTAGAAACAGTCGTATAACTGTATAAAGTTAGTTCTAAACCTTTAACTGTAGTTAGTTAATATCCTCCTGTGTAGAATGGGCAATAAAGAATCTAGAACACTATCTTTTAAATCCCAGAGTTCACACTTAAACTTCTAGTTATCAGATAATCCGTCCTCAAGGATACAACATTTATATATCGCATCCTCCAATACTTTTACAGGGTTTACACAGACAATTCAGAATATATTTTTGCGTAAAGGGCTAATTAAGGATTTTTAAAAAAATCCTAGATAAATTAGACTAAATAGCTCATTTCGTGTTCACATTACCAGAGTACTTCAGCTGAATATGAAAATATGAATTTAGTGCCGTATTAGCTATATACGTATACGTCCATACGGTTCATTGAACAAGAAGAGTTTTATATTCCGTACTAACTTTTTTTGTTTTGTTTAGAGGACCAGTCAAACGAAACTACAGACTTTCCTTTTTGGGTCTTAACATTTGTGTAGATTTTGATTTAAGAGATTCGATAAATAACTAATATTATATTTTCATAACAAAAATATCTTAACATTTGTGTAGATTTTGATTTAAGAGATTCGATAAATAACTAATATTATATTTTCATAACAAAAATATCTTAACATTTGTGTAGATTTTGATTTAAGAGATTCGATAAATAACTAATATTATATTTTCATAACAAAAATATCTTAACATTTGTGTAGATTTTGATTTAAGAGATTCGATAAATAACTAATATTATATTTTCATAACAAAAATATCTTAACATTTGTGTAGATTTTGATTTAAGAGATTCGATAAATAACTAATATTATATTTTCATAACAAAAATATCTTAACATTTGTGTAGATTTTGATTTAAGAGATTCGATAAATAACTAATATAATATTTTCATAACAAAAATATCCCCAAATCCAAACATTTCAAAACGATACTTTGTTTTAAGTTTTGATACACAATTCAGAATAAGAAGAAAGATATAAGAATTATAGAGTTTGAGTTTGCGACAAAGATTCAATTCCTTTGTCTATAAATTCTAATTCTCTGTTCTCTAGATTGTGTGCTTAAAATCTTAAATTGATCCTTTTATTTGTCTGGCATCTTAAAATTACTCTTTTTACCTGTTTGCGCCTTTAAATTTATTAAAAATCAGGATTTTTTTTTATTTCTGTATTTTCTTATATACATTAGAATGTTTTTAACAGATTGACCCCGAGAAGTAAAACGCAATCATTAACCTTTTTGTATGACGAGTATATATGATGTACAAATAAACGGATCAAATTAAGATTTTATGCATCAGAAAACAGAGAATTAGAATTTTTAGACAAAGGAATTGAATCTTTGTCTCAAACTCTATTATTCTTATATCTTCATAGTTTGAAATATCTAAGGTCGAAGACATCAGGTTTCAAAGATAAAGAAATTAGAAAATCAGATTTATTAGCAAAGACTCAATTCCTGTAAGAGACAATTAAAGATTTTGGACAAATATGAAAGAAAGAAAAAAAAGTTATATTTTACAGAAAAGTAAAATTAAGCGGAATTTTTACAAACATGTGTGTTCAACGGTTGATTGAATTGTAACGAATCACGTTTATTTTCAGCGAATTTTTCATTAAATGTAAGAGCACTTCAATGAACATTTTACGAGTTGCATTTTCAAAGTAAATAATTATCTGGAAAAAAGAGGGAAAAAATCTGCTGAATTATGAATTAATTAACAAAGTGGCAAAATTTCATTTATTCCAAATCTTTCCATAACATTACAACATGATCCCGCATAATGTAGAATCTTATATTCAATATATTCAGCTCCCCCCCGTCATTGTAAAATATGAATTAATAGACAAGAATTAGAAAATATTTAGTTTCTTTATCATGCGAAAAGTAAAATCTGGATAAAAATTGATAAAACTGTTCAAATCTAAAAAATTCTTTTTAAATTTTTAATGTGAGAAAAAATCTTCCCATTATTGATAAATAAAAACAAGATTTGACATTGAAATAGTCCCAACAAGAAAATCATGGAAAGTTTACCGATTTTTTTAAATACTGTAGGAAACTAAAGCGTTATGACCTTGGAATCTTCTTATCCAGAGCTATGAAAAAATACAGTCGCTTGGTACGGCTAAACCCAAGGCAAAGGGCTGGAAACACTTGAAAGTGGGAACATTTTAAAGTCCTGGTGTATACTTTTAATACTGTGTTATAGATTCCTTTGATATAATTATCAAATATTTATATCAGAGGGCGACACTTTTGTGTTAGCTCTTAGGCTTATCCAAAGATCTTCACGTTTACGTCTAAACCTTATCCACAGAGTTTATTCTAGGTGAATGCTGTCATTTGCAGATTTTTGAGTTAAGTAAACACGATTCACAAAAAACTGCTTAGTATACAAAAACTTGTAAAAAATTCAATTTTAAATATGTCAATTTTCTCAAAGCAATTGAGTCTGTGCCACAAACTCCAATTTTCTAATCTTTATCTATATCTTTGCAACCTGGTGGTTTATGTTGTATTCCAGATTGTTTGATACATGAGTGAACAGTCCCTTGAATCCAACAGGAAGCCAGATGAGTCAGTACATCCCGGACCGCTGCAGCGTAGACATAAGTCGCACTGCACATAGCCGTCCAGGGACCTGTGCTACATACCGTGCACAGATAGCTTACAGAGAGAACCTTTCTGAACGAGAGAGAAGAAGAAGAAGAAGATGAACCGAGTTTCAGTCATAGTGCGGAACCCTGCCTATATCGAGGAACTAGATGGAGAAGAGGTTGATCCAGCAGACCTTGCTCCTCTCATAAGTGGAAACAC